ATCTTGGATCAAAATTATTCATGTGTTATCTAATCTACTTATTTTACTTTCAGTCGTTGCTTTGGTGATATCAATTAGAAAATGTTCTTTTATGAAGTGTTTTATTCAAAATAGCGATATTTAGATATCATGCACAGTTCTTATAAAATTTTTAGCGAAATAGTAAAATAGCGTACAACAAGCTTACGTGCTGTCCGCGTGCCGCCCCTAATTCATGCGTAACCTAGAGCGCTCATTCGTTATCTTAAAGTTGCTCTCATTTAAAAAGTATTGTTCAGACGCAATATTGCCAGAGAAAAAAGTTGTTTCTTTTGGCACGAGTAATCACGCAGTACATTTCGTGTCCGCGAATTCTGGGACACCCTGTATATAAAAAAAATATGGTAATTATATGCAGAGATAGGGAATCGCTCCCGATTTCGATATTTTTGAAATATATTATCAAGGGTGGAGCCCCTCCCCCTGCACTCCTGCTCCGAAAAAATTCTAACCTAACCTAAATCTAATTTTTAATTTTCATTTAATCAGAAATGGGTTTGGGTTAGATTAAAAGTTTTTAGGGGTAGGTGTGCACGGGGATGGGCAGAGCCCTGCCCATACTTTCACTTTATAAAACACACATAACACTAAATTATTCCACCAAATATATTTTTCTTTAATGTACATGGTGTCAGAAAATTATTTTCTACTTATTAAACTTATTTTATTATTAACTTTTTAATAAACAACGAGCGCCGGCTGAAACCTCCACAACATTACTGAAGGTGATGACCTTGATAAATATATTTCAAAATATCATATTTCAAAATTATCGAAATCGGGAGTGGCTTCCTATCTCTGCATAATTACCAAAATTACTATTAGTCATGCTACTTTTAATATTCATGATCAAATTCCTGGACTTAGTAATGAGAATAGGGATAAAAAAGAATGTCTAAATTTTCCGCGAATGTTATGAAAAACTCGGTCTTATGTATTCGATTGATGTTACATACAATTTAGTGATAATTCCGAAAAATGTGAGGATTAACTTCTTTACATATCACCAAATTTTCATTTCAAAGAGAGCCTCTTGTTGCCGGAATCATATTAATAAATGTTTCGATAATTTTACTGAAGATGCTTTTGGTAAGGTACCAACAATTAAAAAATTAGAAAAGACCAATCTAGATCCAAATAAGATTGTTGACCTAATTGATGATTGAAATGTATAGAAAAGAAAGGTAATGAAAAATTCATTGTTGATAATATCAACATTAGAGACTTTAAAGATCAATTTAGTCTTACCAAAGAGAATTTTAAGCACCTTTGCGATCACATAAAAGATGGAGATAAATCAGAATGAGTTTTAGCGGCATATTTGATATACTTACGGACTGGACGAACTCAATCATCTATTACATCAATTTCACTATGATTATATCGAGCAATATAGCTAATCGACTAATCGCATAAGCTCGTACAGATCTTCAAAATAATGTTGTGCCGCAATATTTGGAAATAAGTAGCCGTAATATTTTGCGAGCTCACTCCACAGAGATAGCTAATACTTTGTATTCTCTAAGTAATGATTAAGTCGTTACTATTTGGGACGGCACATATTTATATCTTCCAAAATTTAGTAATTTTAGATTTCAGAAATTAACTTTTAGTGATTAAAAAAAGAGAAATCTACAGAAATCTAGTCTGTGTCACTCCAGATGGATTTACTGTTGACATTTTTCGTCCTAACAATCTATATGGGCTGCAAATATGAGTGACTCCGACATTCTAAGAGCGAATACAAAATAATTTAATCAAACATTCAAATCTAACGATGTTTTTGTTTTGGACCAAGAATTTAATCAAATAAAGAATGATCTCGAAAATAAAAGTTTTCGAGTTGAGATACCATACAATCTTCCAAAAGGAAAAAAAAACTATTCTCTAACAAGCAAACGAATATATCGAGGCGATGTATCAAATTTTGATGAATTGTTGAATGCATCAATAGAAGATTTAAAGAGAATAAATATCTTACTCGAATACTACGCATTAAATGTGTTATTAATTGATACCAGGATAGCTGCTGTTTTACATAATGCGTATGGCTCACGTTTACAATCTGATAATGATGATTGTAGAGTAGCTGAAACATTGCTTGCTAAAAAAACTTACCGAATGTTCTGCAATTACATTAATTTACAAGAATTTGTGCAAGAGCATTTGAACATTGTTTCGAGGGTGATTTTCAATGCTGAGCACGAATTTGCTATCAAAAAATTTCTATCGGGTCCGGTTTTCAAAATATAAGAAAAGTCATTTTTACAATATATAGCGAATTTTTCATTGAATTTAGAAAACAAATTAGAAATGTTGAGTATTAAATTTTTGTTACACATCCGCAAGATATTTTCGTGAATAAAAAGTGATACAATACAATGAAATTGTAAGGTAAACTGCAGTGCTATTAACTTGCTATATCAAAAAAATTTGACCCGATAAAATTTTTCTGGTGGCAGATTCGAATTTAGCGCTCCAAAATAAAGTTGGTTTCATTTTTGGCATTAAAAAAAGAAATTTGTAAACTAGTTTTATTAAAATGTAAAAAAATGTGGTTTAAACCGACAAAAACATCAGTTTAAAAAGTTGGAAAAAAAACATTCTTATTTTTCTTCGATTTTTCAATGAAGAACTCCGGAACTTTAATGGATCGTACCAACTTTCATTGGCAAAATCTTATGAGATCATTTGTTTGACGGTGACTACGAGATGATAAATGAAGAATCTCATTTAGATTATCGAGTTTTTAATATATTTGTCCGGAAATACTTATTCGTAAAAGCCAGAATAAAATCTCGTCACATTGCTCGTAAACAATATCTCATCTATATTCTACTAGACCTTGATAAGAAAGGACTTGAAGCTTTCAAGCATCATTACTGTCAGTGTAAGACAGGTGATAAAACTATCGCTTGTTGCTCACATGTCTTGCATTTATTTGGTATTTAATTACAAGATGATATGAGACATAAATACACACGCCGCGCAATTTTTGAATCATCACTTTCCATCATGTATACCTGTTGAATACAATGAATATGAAAACGAAGATTAAGTGAGTGAGTGTGTGAAAATACCAAACGTATGAAATGCAAATATGTAAAATATAAATATTTAAATAAGTGTAAATATATGTAAATATGTAAATAAGTATAAATATATACACAGCTTAAGATAACTCCACCATTGCAGGTCCCAAGTCCTGATGAGAAAGGACGAGGGCTTATATATACAGAGTGGGGCATTTATATTGAGACACCTAAATATCTAAAAAATAAAGCAAGATAGAAAAAAATGTTTCAGACAAAAGTTGTTCGGTTCTAAGGGGGACACATAAAATCATAATCACGCAGTATTTTCCAAATTGTCGTTTTAGAGACGTTAGTTTGCGCCGAAAGTCTTCTGATACTAATAGTAGGAGTTCTGTCCACCGTTGCTAATATCCTCGACTTGACGATGTCGCCTTAATAGTCTCTCAAGATTTTTATTTGGGACCTTACCAGTAAGTTTAATGTTTCGGTGGACATTGCTAAAAACTCTTCGATCTGGTACTCTGCGATTAGGAAACCGTCGGTGATATTCTGTTACTGCTGCACGTGCGTTACCATTACAGAAACCATAAATAAAATGAATATCGGCATATTCTTCATTGGAAAATGTACTCGTGATTGGTAGGTAAGAGAAATTTCTAAGCTATGTTTATGCGATGTTTTCACTTAAAACGACAATTTATTAATATTATCTTGTGTGGCAAGTGTGGAAAACAATGAATTATGTCGAGTATGAAGTTGCCGCATTCGCTTCAGCTCATGCGGCAACTTCATGCGCGACGTAGTTCGTTGTGTTCCGCACATGCCATACATACAATATTTTTTGTAATGCCTGTTATTTCCGCACTACTAGTGCGGTAAGGTAAGTCATAAAGATGCTTTTCTCGCATTAGTGTGAGAAATAACTACTTTTGCATTTTTTCGCTATAACTTCAAAACAAGTGATTTTAGGACATATATGTATTAAGACTTTTTGACTTAGAATGATACAAAAAATCACACAGTTTCAGTGTGGACATCACGTTGCGGGACAGTATACATAGGTAACATCAAAACATAAAAAAATATATAAAGGTATATAATTAGCTACGACTATATGACTTCAAAGTCAGATCCTCAATCTTCGTGACAGGAGTATAAGAAACATTCATTTGTAGGCCCTGTTATTCCGATTCATAGTATTCCATTTCATAGATGCTCTATAATAATAGTTTTCACCATAAAATATTATTTATTCTTTGCAAATAAAAGCCACGATTTTAATAAAAACATAATGAGACAAATTTGCTGAGATGGCTCGAGAAAATGATAAAATCAACCGTTACTTTTTTCTGTTTAAAATGTGCTCCAAATTTTTTTTGGGATACTAAGACTAATTTGGCTATGATTTTCAGATTCAGCAAGTGAAGCTGAGTGAAAAAAGATGAACCCAACGATTTTTGCGTGCTCTCCAAACTGCCTGAAATGCATACTCTCCTTTGACATTTGCCGAAAATGAGCTCAAAATGAAACTGAAAAGTTTTATTTGTATAACTAAACTATATTAAATATAAATTTTAGCTCGATACTAGTTCTATATTGATTTAGATATTTTTGTCCAGATAACAAAAAATACTGATAACAAATTATCCTAAGCATCTCTTCTATTAATCGCGAGAATATGATCAGATATTTGTTTTATATAGCGAAAATTTAGAAAATTATCTTTACAATTTTGTAGCAAAAATTCTATAAAACAATAATAAATAGAATAAATTTGAATATCTTTAAATAAAAGATTTTGTTTTAATCCTCGCGTTTTAGGTTTGCTTTTTAATTGATTGCTGCTATTCTAAACTAAAAATGTAACAGATATAAAAAATTTGTTGCATAAAATGCTCACGCATCTTCTTTTTATTGTATTCACAGACATCGAGAAGTCGGGTTTTCCCCAGTTAGATTGGCACGCTATACCCTGGCCTTGAACGCGATGTGCATGGACCCGCGGCAGTTTCACGGCCACGATCTGATCGGCACGTTGCAGCATCACGAGCCGCCGACCGATTACGAATTCACGTTGACTGCCCTTGCGGCATGTAGCGCGCAAGCACATGTTCGCAAACGGCAGATGCGTCGTCTCTTGGACATCGCAAGTGCTCCGCAGAACCATAATATTGGTGGGTTGCCCTAAGAGTCATTATGTTATCAAAATAGACAGATGAGACGAATAAACAGAGACAAGGAATTTCAAGAAAAAAAGCTTTAATTCTACAACATTAGTATGAAAAATAATTTGTTGGATATCTTGAATGTAAGCTTTCTAATCTTAACCTTTTGAGAACGGCTCATTTATTGAAAAATCAAACTTTTACAAAATTTATAAAAAGTATTTATTTAATGAAACAAACATTGTTTTGATTAAAAAATGAGTTGAAGTATAATATTCTTTAAAGCAACTAGTTTCACAGAGACCAACATCACACTCTACATATTACACATTTATATCTTGGCTTTGATCTTTTGTTTTTTTTTTCGCTGACTAGCTATAAACGACACATCTTCTTTGTTTTCTTTTTTTACCAGGCTCAGATTGAATAAGAAAAATACCTATCAGAAAGGCTTTTCGGATGTTCTCCTATATTTGTTCTTCTTATGGTTCCAATTGATTTCGTATGTTGATAATTTCTCTGATGAATTGAACTCTTAAGTCACGAAATTGATACCACTTTCGGAAAATTTTAAATTTTAGAAGGAAAATGAGTGAAAACACATGAAAAAATGCAACATCTATCGCTTAAAAACTTACTTATATACATATTTTTGTCGTCTTTTGAAAAAAACCGTATACGCATATATGTGTACATATACATCTGCCGTCCTCAAAGGATTTGTAGGATAAATGAAATAATCATTGTGTGTATAAAAATAATCATTATATAAATAAATATCTTCAGAATTAGAGTTCGTTGCCGCCCGCCGACGGGAACGGCCGTGTTTAGACATGTTATGCGTGAGTTCTTTGTTTGGACCTTATTTTTGAGTTTCCTCCTCTTCTAAAGAGGATTTTCTTTTCGTTACTCTCCGTTTATTACTTATTTAACCAGTTGTTGGCCAGAATGTACTGATCCCATTTGAATCGAATGTAGCCATAAAGATAAAAAAGAAGATCTTCAGAATTTGAAGTATATAATCCTTAGATATATTCTAATCAGAAATCAACGTTTTATAATAAAAAACTTGTAAAACTATTGGGTAAAAATGCATAAATGCTTCTTACGATTTTCACGCGTGGGCGAGGGAGAGAGGGGGCGGACCATGTAGCTATTCTCTAATATAAAAAAAGCTTTTTTTAATTCAGTAAATTAATATGGTATATACAAACTTCACTGTTTCTAATATCAGTTTAAACATCTAAGAAAAAACATTAAAATTGTCAAATGTCAATTTGTTATATTTTTTAAACCAAAAAATTTGCTGTCCCCCATTTGATTTTTGCGGGGAATTACTTAGAACAACCTTTTCTACAACATAAGAAGCGATAAAATCGGTGAAATGTGACCTTTTTACTAAATATTGTATTTTAAAAAAGTTAGTAAGGCTTGCAATTCTTGCCGCATTTGACTTTTAATAGAATGTACAATATGAATTCACCGTAGACACAATAGCGATGTTGATCCTGGTGTTGCGGTGCATCAGCCAGGACCACCGACATCGCAACATCCGTCACATTATTCGCAAGCCGTCGACAGTGTTGGCGCAGCAGCAAAGGCACGACGGCAGCTTCGGCGATTTGCACACCACTGCGTTGGTGATGCAGGCACTCGAGGAGGTAGAGAATGAGCCGGCCGACAATTGGAACAGATCCGCAGCATTAGCCTGGTTGATCAGTCAGCAACGACCGGACGGTTCTTTTCACGGTGACGTCCGTGCCACTGCCGAGGCGATATTGAGCGTCACCCCACGTGGATTAACCAGCATCCGAACCCTCGATTGCGGACAGGGTCTATCGGACAATTCGCCACCTCGTTTAACCACGAGCAACAGTAAATCTTTCATTATAAGGAAATTTTTAGATAGATTTAAATTACTAGGGCAGATAAAGGTTCTCCATTTTATTAGAACTTTCATTTACAACTTATGCACAAATTGGACTTCTTGTGTTATAATATATGAATGATTATACTTTTTAATGTAACCTCTTCGAGAAAATTGATGCATTTGCCCCCTCTTGGCATAAGTTTGAAGATCGTTTTTCGGTAAAACGCCGGCTCTTGATGTTTAAACCATTCTTGAATAACATTTTGTACCGCTGCATTATCTGGAAATAATCTTTCTCCAAGATGTTTCTTCAGCGACCCAAACAAGTGAAAATCGAAAAGAGCTAAATCCGGGTTTAGGGAGTATGCTCCATATGCTTCCAATCAAATAATTACAAAAGTTCCTGAGTTTGATGTGCAGAATGAGATCTGGCATTCGTGAGAAAAATTTGCAAGAAAGAGGCCTGGGCTTTTCTAGAAAGAAGCCTTCGAATTGCCTTTTTGATAATGCAGCGGTACGAAATGTTCAAGAGTGGTTTACGCATCAAGAGTCGGATTTTTACTAAGAAGAAACTTCAAACTCGTGTTAAGGTCCACTGATCTATATATCTGGATTGTCGATCGCCTTTGTCCTTAGGACTCAAAAGCGTCCCCAAATGGACGCCGCCATCTTACTCGGCAATTTGCCTCCGAGCGTGGGAAATTCAAATGAGTTTGACTAAAACCACGGTCTATGTAAGACTGTAACTGAAACTTACGTTTACGTAACATTTTTGCTGTTATTAATTAAAAAAATCAGGATAAAACGATAAAACAGACCATAAAATAGACCAAAATATTACAAAATTTTATGTTTAATAAGATAATAATTTTTTATTCATTCAATAAACGTTTCTATCATACGTTTCAATTGCGATAATACAATCAACTTGTCATGATTCGAGGAATTTTGGATTATTTTTTAATATTTACAATTTCTTAATCATTTTTTGTGGGTCTTATAAATAAAATATTTGCAGATATAGAGAATGTTACCATAGTTGGACCTTCCTTTTCGTGTGCAGCTGTTACAAAGTTAAAAAGAAGGTTAAAAGTTAAAAACTGTTAAAAAGTTTATTAAGCGGTATCCATGACCTGCACTTATTGGTATCACTTAGAACACCACCACGCATGCGCGCACCTCGGACGTGTAAAATGGCGGACCTTCAATTGGGTACATCGCCAGGAGGCCTATCAGCAATCCAGATATATAGATCAGTGGTTAAGGTCCGACAAGCGCATCAAACTAATAATAAAGTATTTTTTCATTAAGTATTTTTCGAGTTATTTTATATCTTAATCTGACATATTTTGATATAAAAAATAAAATATCTCGTAAAATATTTATTTTTCGATAATCTTACCATAATACTTTGATATACAGAAAAATGAGATAAATCAATTGGTATAAAAAAATAATTGTTTTTAAGAAAAAGTATGTAATTATTTACAATGTATTTTTTTAAAACAATTATTTGTCTTTTTTTTACACAAATTGATTTGTCTCATTATTATGTACACAAAAGTATTACGATAAGATTACCGAAAACTAAATATTTTACCAGATATTTTATTTTTTATATTAAAATATGTTAGATTAAGATATAAAATAACTCGAAAAATATTTAACGAAAAAATACTTTATTATAGTGTTTTGAAAAGCTCTCGAGATAAGCTACAAAAGTATGTAATGAAAAATGGAGGGTTCTATTTAAGAAAACATCGATCACATTGACCTGGCCTTGAAAAAATCACTCAAGGTCAAGTCCATTGTTTCATCATGTAGCCCTCTTCAAACCACGCAACTTTTGTCTGAAATATTTTTCCGCATCTTCCATATTTTTCGAGATATTTGCCTGCGGCATTTAAAATGGGACATCCTGTATATATACAAGATGCCCGGTAAAGATTGTGTCAATGCTTGTAAGCGGGTAATATGACATGACAATTTGCCAATAAATTCGAGTTCTGTTGTAGAATGAATAAAATTAAATAACTATCTCTTAAACCTATGAGTTGCAGACATCGGGACGTCCGACAATCACAGCGAGACCGCCCTACCGTCAGAAGCGTCGGAAAGTAACGTGAGCAACGCAGACACAACGGTCGCATATACTTCGGCGCCGGTGTTGGTGAATGTATCGTACACTTTATGGGTCGGCAGCAACGTAAACGAGACATACAACTTGACGGTGACCGCGCCCAAGAATGAAACTTTTTACGGAGTGATGTTGCTGGCGGCAGAAATGTCGCCCCATTTCGAGTTCCTCGCGTCCGAATGGCCTAACGGTCATTACGTTCACACACTAGCTGGCTACAAGGAGGAGCCAATGTCCTATCACTACTGGCTACTCTATAGATTGCCCTCGCCGCCGGAGCCGTCATCGCCGCCTGGAAATCAATTGGTCGCGCCCGGAGGTACGGATGATTTGGCATTGATCCTTTGTCTTGTGTATTCACAATTCTTAGCTTTTCTTAAACTTTAAAACTTCTCCATGCTTGTAGGTGTCGACAATTTGCAGATTAGCGAAGGGGAGCATTATCTCTTTTGGTACAAGAAACTATGAAGCGCGGCGAAAAGAATAAACAGAGCAAAATAATAAAAACAAAGAAAAGGAGATTATATACATAAACGGAAGGAGGAATACTTTGTAAGAGAAAAGTGAAATTATGTATACAAATAAGAGAGAGGGAGAACGAGCGATCTCAAAGCTCTAGAGCGAGATCCAGTATTCACTGCCATCGTTAATTATCGACACGTAAAGAAAAAAATAAATAGAATAAAAAAGAAAAATACGCGCGACGCTGTTAATGCAAGGGAGAGGAAGCTTAAACGAAGAGAGAAAAACATGAATGTACACTTACACATATACATACATGCATACATACACAGTTGGCAGTGATTTTTGAAACTCCGTTCTAGTGGCTGACACTTAAAGGACCCGGGTGAGATGAGGTACGGATCTCGCGCACGTGCGCGATCGATACGCCGGGTTCGATATCAACGTATACAACATATACAACATAGACAACTCCATTTCTTAACACGTTGAACGCTAGTAACGAGATGACTAGATGACACAAATGTGTATCTAGAATTTGGATCTAGGATAAACATATCCTCGGCACTTCTGCGTGTGTTATCAATATGTAAAAACGATTTTATTGATTTGCAACCAGCTGTATTTATAGAGCTGTATTTGCATTAGTATTTATAAGTAGCCGATAAATTTATTAAAAATATTGTTACTGTTATTGCACGTACGTATACATAGCCCTAGCCTTAGAGCTCATAGAGTCAAATCGAGATCCGCGCGGCATTCAACGTGTTTATTAAAATTATAATAAGCTACATGAGACGTTTTCTATGAAACCGCAATATGCACAAACATACTTATACTTATCATAATTAATTCGTACTCACAATAAAACCGAAGTACTCGTATTAACGAATATCCTCTGACATTCCCGATTCGGCTGCAACGTGTTGATTTAGTAAATTCATTTGCGATTAACGAAAAAGCAGCGAATAAATAAATAAATAATTAAATAGTGAATACGAATTAGTGAATGAGAAAATGAATATAAAAGAAATCATATAAGAGTAAAAACCGCGAATCTGATCTCCTGCTGCAACGGGTTCGAAAAAATAAAAGGAGAACACATCGTGAATGCCGTACTTCCATTTGTACCTCTACGATATGTATCCTTTATCAAGCAGCTCGGAGTATAATGTACGATTTCATTTTTTCTTGAAATCAATAAAGGAATGAATAAAATACATTTGCAAACCTAAACAGTATATTTTATTTTGTTTTCTTTTTTTAATCTATCTGATATGTTTCATCAGTTTCTCGAACGTTTATCATTTGTATAAATAATTTGTATCATTTTTCGAATTTTGTGTGTCAATAGAAGATATTTACAGATCTAAAACATTTTTTCTTTAACAGCAAATTGCTTTTTTAACTAATTACAAATATTGTCTATATAACATTTTTGGACTATATGAATACAACATATGATTTCGTCTAATCAGTGGAACATCTTTTTGATATCTTTTTCGTTATACGTTATATTTCTTCATTTTTTAGTCCATTATTTTATTTTCATTTTCTAAAAATCTCATACAATGATTCAAATTATATTATAATTATATAAAGTCGAGTTATATCATCTATATATAGCTACATTATATTTCCATCGATGAAGCTTTCTTTAATTTCTGTTCCAATTGGGAAATTCTTCTAAGAAACTTCGATATTAAAACGCTTTCGATATTGTACAAGATTAGTAGATTATTTATTTTGAAACATTACGTACACATGTGTGATTAATAGTATTTCTATCATCTGGATAAAAGTATTTAAATAATTATCTAGATGAGAATTGTTTTATTGTATTTTTATGTAGATTATATCGAAGTATATATTATTTTCCTCTGTATCTTAAATTAAAAAGGTATTATCTTTTTCAAATTATTTAAGATTATGTGTGATAAGGAATTTAATATATATCAATGTAAGTATATAGAATTTTAAAATATCCGCTTTTATATGATCAGCATCTTTTTAGTTGTGAGCAGCAAATATATGTATCAAAAATCAAATAACGCATTCAAAAAGTTTTGTTCTTGGAAAATAAGAATTAATAAAAAAATAAAAGTATGAGGTATAATGTTTTTATATTTTAAATTGTTTTCCTAAAAATGTTATTGTCTTTTATCTAGATAACATGCTTTATAATCTTATTTCTCATCTAGCTAAATTTAAAACAAGAACATTTTATCTAAGATATATTTATGAGATCATCTTCTTCTAGGTGATTTCTAAATTATTTAAGCGAAACACTGGCGACTAGTGAGAAAAAAGATAATACTGATTGCAGATCTGATTTTATTCGTAATATTGCATAATATCGTTATGTTCATTTTTGTTCTTTAGGCAATAATTCATCAGAACGACAATAAAATACTAAAGATTTATCGTCGTGATTCACAGATATATTGATGATTTCGATAAACCGTCGATTTGACAGTTTTATCATAGATTTAAAAAACGTCTGCGTGAATTCATCTGTCGATTTTTTAGAGGTATCTGATTGTGGCAAATGCATGTTGGACGAATGCAGTCTATTTATATCAAGATTCTCTTTCAAGACAAACTCGACATCTTGCTCTATACTCGCCAAACAGGACGGTTCTATCCATATAATGTATTCATAAATAATATAATTATAGTATGTAATTGTATACATAAATATAAATTGTAATATATAATAGTAATATTATATATGAAATAAATCTATTTCTGGATATATATAATTTAATTGCATAAGTAATTGCGTATTTAAACATTTGCAATTATTTGTATATTATCTATGACAGAAATTATGTAAATATATAAACGTAAATTTCTCTCTCTCTCTTTCAGGGCTGTAATTAATGTATACTACATCTGTATTACAAATATCTGAGGAAGTTAATAAATAAATCAATCAATCTCTTTCTCTAACGATATAGAATTATATATACATATACAGGGTGTCTGATAATAATCGCCCCACCCGTAATGTGCAGATAGAGCGGGTTAAACCGAGCAGGAAAGTCCTTTATGAAAGTCCTTTTGCGATTTTTGTAATAATTATTGAGAAATTAATAAAAAAAGATCGACCAATTCGCGTGAGTATAAGCGCGCAATAAAAAGGGACAAACCATTGATATATGGTTGTTATGAGAATTCACCGTTATGTACCGCTCATACGTAACCGTTGTCATTTGTAGAGCGCTCCTCCCAAAACTTCGTCGCGCGCCTAGCGACCGCAAACTTTGAGGTTGTCTCTGGCCTGTCCTTTCTCGCCGCGCGCTTATACTCACGCAAATTAGTCGACCTTTTTTAATTAATTTCTCAGAAATTATTACAAAAATCGCAAAATGGTAAAGGACTTTTCTTCTCGGTTTCACCTGCTCTACCTGCACATGACGGGTGATGCGAGTGACTCCGGACACCCTGTATATAAATGGTGATTCGAAACAAGCTAATATACTTGAAATGTCATACTCTTGAGCAAATTCTGAGACGATTTTTCCTTTTGCAAAATTTTGTCCGAAGCTTAGTTTTTGAGTTATAATTGGAAATAGTTAACTATTTACGAGTTTGGTACAATGGGCAGGCGCAACGCATCATGAGACTCACTTCACAATTTCACAATAAATATCACTGGAAACATTACTGTTTTCACTGCAGTATTTTATTATCACTTGTAATTTCCACACAAATTAAGGCATAAAATGCCACGATAAATAATATTTATTGTAAAATTGTGAAGTAAGTGTCGTGACGCGTTGCACTGCCCTGCCTGCCCACACAGAAATTAATGTATATTAGATATCTACTGGATGTTGTCAATGTGCATTAGGGATATCTACTGGATGTTGTCAATGTGCATTAGGGATATCTATGAATATGTAGAAAACAGCTATTAGACATGCTTTAAATATCCAAATGTCCGCAATACAAGATCTTATAAATATCCACAGGATATGTAGGCCAATATTCACTGGACATCCACATCAGTATTCAGTGTATATTTATGTAGATATTCAGTGGATATTTATGTAGATATCCATTGTGTGTTGGTTAAATTTTGGTCACAAAATGACTAATTAAATGTTCTAAAAGTTAGGTCTCATGAGACTCACACATGACATATCGATATGTCCCATTCACGGGACATCATTTTCTGACGTTTGTTTGATGGCAAAACTAAGACTAATTACAGTATTACGTCCGGACTCGTGCAGAATTGAGTCAGGATGGAACGCAACTTATACTTACCTCGAAACACATTCTCTCTTTCTTTTGCGAGACAAGTGTTTCCGAGTCGAACGAATAATACAGGGCCTTAGACAGGTCAGGAGGACATCAACCGGAATTAAACGGGGAAACTAAAATCTAGATTCCGGTTGGAAATTTACAATAATCATTTTAAATACAAATATAAATTATAAAAAAAGGAAGGTTGAAAAGTAGGGAGAAAAAGGGTAGGAGGGCTATTGGAGATCTTGGAGTTGTACAGTGGAGGGGGAAGGGAACTTCATCCAAAAGACCTCGATGGGTACGGCTAAAGGAAAAGGGCAACCTGGGACAAAAAATGGAATGATCGAGCCAGGTGGACTGGTTTGAAGGATAAGATGGAATTGGTCAAGGTCTACTATATCTGGACCGACCCGATAGTCCTCGTCCGTAAGAGGTACTGGGTAAGGAGGAAACTGACTTAAAAGGTATCTGTACCAGTTTCGTCTAGCCTGTTTTTCGTAGAACTCAGACTCTCCTTCGGTATTGAAAGATCCTCGTTCGGGATCTTCCGGTTCCTCTTTGAGGTCCGGTAATTCTTCCGCGAAGTCCTGGAAGGCTTCCTCAAAATCGTGCGATGCTCCTGGAAGATCGGACGACTCGAAGTGTGAAGAGGAAGGGAGAGTGGGAATTCTCGACGGTTCATGGTCGAGAGATGGTGGGTAGTCGAAAGTTTTTGTATGTCACTTTAATTTTAATCCTTTTCGTTCCAGGCCTATCTGGTAAAGCTTATGAATAATTTCAAAACAAGTCGATCAATTTGGCACGGGGCACTTTTAAACTCGAAATTGGTGATCGATGTGATCGACGTTATTGCAGTAGGGGTTAAGTAGTTTTATGAAGTACTATTTGTAATAAAATCCGCAATATAATTGTGCTATTTTATTGTTGGGTTGAGGTTCAATTACCACACTTGTATATATATGCATGAACAGAAACGAGATATATTTATTCTTTGCGATCACAGAAAGTAAAGCGGTACACGAGTCGAGATCAACCGGAAGAAGAAGGTAAGGTGAAGACGAACACGTGATAGCGCTACAGTAAGGCAAACCGCCAATAAGAACGTTCATAGATGTCTCTAGTTCCTATAAAAGGGTGCATTGATTAAGTCAAAACTTCTTATTTCAACATTTATATAATATTGTTACGTCCGTCCCTGTGTACTTCGTCTCTGCTAGAGTCCTAGATTATCAGAGAGGCGCCAACTCTACCCCCATTATGCCCACCGCCGCCATCTTAAGACACAAACGTCAGTAGTGCTTATATATATATATATATATACAGAGAGAAGCCTGAGAGCGGCCATCCCAGCGTTTTTCGTACGATAGCTTTCGGTCCCGTACAGCAGCGCCTCTACGTATATGTGCAGCTTAATTTCTTCGTATATAACATATATAAGACATTTCTACTTACCGTGGTAACAAGAAATTATAATATGCACTTATTTAAACTTTTAATATTAACGCAATCACATTTGATTGACAGCTGTCAGACTGTACGTGTGACGTTTATGTTCTAACATGGCGGCTATTTTAATCGACCAATCAGAAAGTGGAACAAGTTGGCGCCTCTCTGATAATCTAGGACTCTACTTGCCATTGGCT